TGAGCTCTGCCCTTCAGCCACTTCTTCACCCAGCGCACTGTGAACTACTTCAGAAATAAGAGTTAAATATACACTGTAAGCTTAATTGAGTATGTCAGTGTTCTGCTTGGAACTGAAAGGTGTGTGCAGCTAAACCTCTGGACTTCTGGTTATCAACTCAGTCTTACCCAACTGCCTTCAAATAATTACCATGCAAAGATAAAACCTGGGTTCTGTAATTCAAGAGATAAGACAAGAATGTAACATCATGATAAAATAGATTTTGGTCTGGAGAGCGCATCAGGATATAAATCATTAAGCAATTGTTTAGATGCAATATTTACTTGTTTCTTTTCCTAAGGCACAGCTTGTATTTAAGACAAATGAACTGAAGTTTAAAAACAGCCTGAAAGTAATATTTGAAGTGATTTTTTTTTTTTAAAGTCTGATTTTTATCTTTCTAATTCCCCTTTGATTTTTTTTCATGGACATATGTCCTATTTAAAAAGGCATTAGTAAAACTGAAACTCTGATTAAACAGCTAGTATTTGTCAGTCTAACTTGGTTCATATTCCATGGATGTGAGGTGCAATATAAGCCCGCTAGTTCTCTGCAATCTGCCACCTTGTTAACTGATTGATCCCAAAAGAGAGTACAGAGAAGTTAATAGCAACGCTAACACGCAAGCTTGGCCAACAAATATGGCCACTGTTTCAAATCAGTAAGTAGACTCAAAAAAGAAATTATCTTTTATTATACTCACTTAAATTACATTTTACAAATAAGAACAGTTTCACAGCAGTTTTATGCAAGGCAAACTTGAATCCTTGTCACTTTGCTCCTTGCTTTTCATACTCAAGGAATCTTTTGACCCACCAGCCTTTAAAATGTCTTATTTACCCTTAAGATTGCTACCAGGAGAACTATTAAGACTTTTCTTAAGCGTCTATTATTCTCCCTGGCCCAAAGCCCCACAGCAGTCTTTTGTAGGATTAGTGCGAATCAATTGTGAGAGATGCGTATGAAAGATGTAAGATAAGGATCCTTCTATGTATTAATTCCTTTGGATCATCATTTCAAAGTGCTGCATGAGAGAGAGACACCAGAAATTGCTGATGAGTGTCACCCCCTCCGGGAGGGACACTAGTTTGCTGTCAAGTGGTTCACATCAACAAAAAAAATTGAGTTGTATTGGTGCAAAAAAAAAAAAAAATCAATCTCCATGCATCACACTGCACCTAGGAGGTGCTCTGCTATTTTTTTTACTTCCCGGGGTGCAATTAAAAATTAATTTTATACTTCAAAAAGTAAAAAAAAAAAAAAAAAAAAAAAAAAAACTACCGAAAGCTAAAATTTATTAA